AATCGTTTCGGTTAACATAATTTAAGCACATTTTGAGACTATATGCTAATTTGTAAAACAATATGGCCGTGAATTGGTATAGATTAGGCTCAGCCTAATTCGTTTTTAACCCAGGTAATACAGAGTAATTAACCATGTGGGCATTTGCCTGTTTCCCACCTGCTCCTCGTTCTCCTGCTCCTATGGGTGTCTCTATTCCACATATCAAAAAGCATCTGATAGATTTCAGATGGGAAGTTCGGATCATTTTACCGACTCGGATCTTTGAGTCTCGTTTATCAAGATGAACAAATCTTTTTTCAAGTCATTTCGTTCATTTGGTTCAATTTGCCAAAATATTATTAAAATGTTACGAATTCCTTCCAAACACATCTACAACGAGCCCAAAAGGTTGATCACACGACAAATAAGTCATAAATCGAATACTATATGAAGGAGAAAATAATTTTTCAATGTTTACCTTCTCTTTTGTCTATGAAGGTATTGTTGTCTCTTTGCTCAGCTCACCTCTTCATGTCTTCAAATGTCAGTGGTTCGTTCACGTTACACAGACAGTCACATATAATCTTAACCAATGTACACAGTCTGAGTCGATAGGAGCCATGATAATTAGTTCACCTTTCAAGTCTTCTGGTTCTTGAGTCGTTCGTTCATCACGTGACAGAATGACTCGAGAGATGAACGGATCAATTATTTTTTCCGGCTCTAAACGCATATGATTGGCCCGTGATTAACGAATGACTTAGACCCGATAGAGGACTCGAGAGATGAACAGATCAATCCTTTTCCGGCTTTAAACGCATATGATTGGCTATTGCCTTTCCGCGATGAACGACTCAAAAGACTTGAAATGAACGATACCACCTGCACAAATGCGCGGATGAATGAATCACTCCCTGAGAGGACTCGTAGTTCCCGAGTCATATTGAAGATTCGTTCAAAATGAATGAATCGTTCATAAACGACCCATCACTATTTGAGATAGTGGTACAGGAACGCAAGAGATTTCTGATTAATCCTTTGCTTAATGCTCCTGCTATCAAATGCCCGTTAGGACATTTCAAAAACACTTACAGTTGTAATGTACTGTATGTAAGATGTGATGTAATGTATAGTAAAATCCAGCTAAAACCAGCTTGACCAGCCTGGTTTAAGTTGGACTCCCAGCTTGGCTAGACTGGTCAAGCTAGTTTTAGCTGGTCATCTCCCAGCCTGACCAGCTAAGACCAGGCTGGAAATGGCTGGGAACCAGCCTGGAAGTCGACCAGCTAAAACCAGCCAACCAGCCTAGGCTGGTTTAAGCTGGATTTTTCAGCAGGGCTTAAGGGCACTTTTTAGAGTTTTGCTCCAACCCTAAAAAAAACCTCACCTGAACAAGCTAATCAAGGTCAGAGTGTTACTAGAAAGTTACTGACAGGTGAGTTTTTATCAAGGTCAGATCAAAACTTTGCAAGACTGCGGAACTGAACTTGCCCACCCCTTGGCTATCCAACACAATGGTCACATGGGGGCAGATTTATTTCATTCAGAATCCAGCAATAAGTATATCTGCTTTGCATAAAATATTTCCTCCTTGTGCCAAATTTTGCATCATCTGTTTTCCAGGTTTTCCAGTCCAAGGACAATCCGGAGAAATCCACCACCCCAGAAGAGTTCATCCGCATGACCAAGGGCATCACCGTTGCGACAGCCAAAGCGGTGGCAGCAGGCAACTCTGCTCAGCAGGAGGATGTGATATCCACTGCCAACCTGAGCCGAAAAGCCATCTCTGACATGCTGACCACCTGCAAGGTGCTTATCCACATCACACACACACATATGCCCACTCGCACCGCATGCTGATCAACAGCACCAAAGACTCGACAACCGACTAAATGTGTTTACAGGCCAACATTGTTGCTCTCACACAAACTCTCCTGCTTTAAAGTTGTCATATCGTTAAAAATCGGACTATTTCCATGTTTAAGTGCTATGATCAAGTCCTTGGTGCACGGATCATCCCAGAAAGACGTGAAAAAGAAAATCCCAGTAACTTGGGTTTGGTAAATCTTTTTCTGCAACAATATGGAAAACCTAGTGATCTAGAAATGGTGGCACGGTGGCTCAGTGGGTAGCATTGTCGCTTCACAGCAAGCAGGTTACTAGTTCGAGCCCCAGCTAGGTCGGTTGTCATTTCTGTGGAGTTTGCATGTTCTCCCCATGTTGGCATGGGTTTCCTCTGGGTGCTCCGGTTTCCCCTACAAGTCCAAAGATATGTGCTATAGGTGAAATGGGTAAGCTAAATTGCCCGTAGTGTATGTGTGTATGTCCTGGACCTCCAGGTTGGGGGTTTAGCGTTGGGCTAACAACCCACCTCGAAAAAATTAGTTGTTGCAAAACACCAACATAATGCGACTAAATATCAACTTCAATATAAACGACACTGGAATTAAGTAAGTGATCTAGGTAGTGGAGCTTTTTATATATTAGTCTGCACTATTACACCCACAGCGCCACTGCTTGACATAGGGGGGTCAGTTCAACATTTTGTGCACTGTGATCTTCATACTCAGGAACTTGCTCGCCACAGAGCCCAACCCCACATTATACTTCTGTGCTCTGTCTGTGTTGCTCTGCAATTACACCTCCTGAACACCAGTAGGCGGTGGGGTTTCTTTGTTCCAATGTGTTGAGTTTCTTTAGTTCCCACGGCTTTCAGCCCCACCCACACTCATCACTGCTACCTAGCCGACCAATCACAGATCTTGCGCTCTGTGCCATTGCGATGTGTAGTTACATTTTTTGAGAGGTGCGGGTCAGCGTACGACAAAAGGTATGGATCTGCGCGAGGGCTACAATGGATCTACGGCATATACTCTATGCAGAAGTATAAATGGGTCTTAAAGGACACCTATAATAATATAGGTAAATATAGGCGAATAATATTTAACTATTAAAATCTAACAAATTTCCGATTTGCAGAATAGCTCTGTAATAAAATGGCAGTCTCAATTTGAAGTTCAGTCAGCTAGCATTGCTGTGTAATGAAGGCTAGCTTATGACCTCTCACTGTGCCAGAATCATCCATTTAAGCCTCGTCCACATCAGTCAGGCTGTTACCGAACAACGGCCGTCATAACATTGCCTGAAAGATTCCAGTGGACTTGTTTGAAACTTGAAAAATTGGCAAGCAGCTACTATGGGAAAAAATATACCTTATTTGAAAATTGTCAGGGCTTTATCTACTGTAAATAAATAAAAAAAAGGGGTAAATTTACAGAAAGACTAAAGAGGCAGGGCCGGCGCGTCCATAGAGGCGACCTAGGTGGTATAGAGAGGGCGGCGTCCGCGACACCTCCCTTACCACCCGCGTACCCACGTCCTTGGTTATGTCCACGACCCCTCCCTCACAACCCGCGTCCTCAGATATATTCGCGCACAGGCGACAGAATAGAGAGGGCGGCATCAGCGACACCTCCATCAGCACCCGCGTGGCCTGTTAAATCCGCGCATAGGGTGGCAGATTAGAGGTCCGCGACACCCGCGCGTCCTCAGTTATATCCGAGCAAAGGACGGCAGAATAGAGAGGGCAGCATCCGCGACACCTCCCTCCCACCTTCAGCACCCGCGCGTCCTGAGTTATATTCGCGCATAGGAGAGCAGAATAGAGAGGGCAGCATCCGCGACACCTCCCTCCCTCCCTAAGCACCCTTACGTCCTCAGTTATATCCGCGCGTAGGACGGCAGAATAGAGAAGGAAGCATTTGCGACACCTCCCTCCCTCAGCACCTGCGCGTCCTCAGCTATATCCGCGCATAGGACAGCAGAATAGAGAGGGAAGCATCCGCGACACCGCCCTCCTTCAGCACCCGCGTGTCCTCAGTTAAATCCGCGCATAGGGCAGCAGAATAGTGGTCCGCGACACCCGCGCGTCCTCAGTTATATCCGCGCATAGGATAGCAGAATAGAGAGTGCAGCATCTGCGACACCTCCCTCCCTCAGCACCCGCGTCCTCAGTTATATCCGCGCATAGGACAGCAGAATAGAGAGGGCAGCATCCGCGACACCTCCCTCCCTCCCTAAGCACCCGTGCGTCCTCAGTTATATCCGCGCATAGGACAGCAGAATATAGAGGGAAGCATCCACGACACCTCCCTCCTTCAGCACCCCCGTGTCCTCAGTTATATCCGCACATAGGACAGCAGAATAGAGAGGGAAGCATCCGCGATACCTCCCTCCCTCCCTCAGCACCCGCGTGTCATCAGTTATATCCGCACATAGGACAGCAGAATAGAGAGGGAAGCATCCGCGATACCTCCCTCCCTCAGCACCCGCGTGTCATCAGTTAAATCCGCGCATAGGGCAGCAGAATAGAGGTCCGCGACACCCGCGAGTCCTCAGTTATATCCGCGCATAGGACAGCAGAATAGAGAGGGCAGCATCCGAGACACCTCCCTCCCTCCCTCAGCACCCGCGTGTCATCAGTTAAATCCGCGCATAGGGCAGCAGAATAGAGGTCCGCGACACCCGCGCATCCTCAGTTATATCCGCGCATAGGACAGCAGAATAGAGAGGGAAGCATCCGCGACACCTCCCTCCTTCAGCACCCGCGTGTCCTCAGTTATATCCGCACATAGGACAGCAGAATAGAGAGGGAAGCATCCGCGACACCTCCCTCCTTCAGCACCCGCGTGTCCTCAGTTATATCCGCACATAGGACAGCAGAATAGAGAGGGAAGCATCCGCGATACCTCTCTCCCTCAGCACCCGCGTGTCATCAGTTAAATCCGCGCATAGGGCAGCAAAATAGAGGTCCGCGACACCCGCGAGTCCTCAGTTATATCCGCGCATAGGACAGCAGAATAGAGAGGGCAGCATGCGAGACACCTCCCTCCCTCCCTCCCTCAGCACCCGCGCATCCTCAGTTATATCCGCGCATAGGACAGCAGAATAGAGAGGGAAGCATCCGCGACACCTCCCTCCCTCCCTCAGCACCCGCGCATCCTCAGTTATATTCGCGCATAGGACAGCAGAATAGAGAGGGCAGCATCCGAGACACCTCCCTCAGCACCCGCGCGTCCTCAGTTATATCCACGCATAGGACAGCAGAATAGAGAGGGCAGCATCCGCGACACCTCCCTCCCACTTTCAGCACCCGCGCGTCCTCAGTTATATCCGCGCATAGGACAGCAGAATAGAGAGGGCAGCATCGGCGACACCTCCCTCCCTCAGCACCCGTGCGTCCTCAGTTATATCCACGCATAGGGCGGCTGAATAGAGAGGGAAGCATCCGAGACACCTCCCTCAGCACCCGTGCGTCCTCAGTTATATCCACGCATAGGGCGGCTGAATAGAGAGGGAAGCATCCGAGACACCTCCCTCAGCACCCGCGCGTCCTCAGTTATATCCGCGCATAGGACAGCAGAATAGAGAGGGCAGCATCGGCGACACCTCCCTCCCTCAGCACCCGTGCGTCCTCAGTTATATCCACGCATAGGGCGGCTGAATAGAGAGGGAAGCATCCGAGACACCTCCCTCAGCACCCGCGCGTCCTCAGTTATATCCGCGCATAGGACAGCAGAATAGAGAGGGCAGCATCCTTGACACCTCCCACCTTCAGCACCCGCGCGTCCTCAGTTATATCCGCACATAGGACGGCAGAATAGAGGTCCGTGACTCCTCACTTCATTTTCATAACCGGTCACTTTTGTTTTCACATTGAGGTTGAGGGCGGCGTGATCGTCCTCTGCCTAGAGCGGCAGTTCAGCATGCTCCGGCCCTGTAAAGAGGGTATACAATGACCTCACTTTCCCGCAATAACATGAACATGCCCCTTCAGCCAGACTAATTGGCATAAAGCTACTGCTTGAATGGATCCCTTCTATACTGTATGTGTAAAAGAAAGCAAGAAAAAGTTCCTTTTTTTACCCTTTTTCACAAAACTAGTACATAAATTGCATACATTTTTAAATGTCTTATTTAGAAGTTGAGGTTATATTTACTAAATATAAGAAATATGCATATAAATAAAAATATTTAGCACCCCCAACAAAGAAACCCTGGAGCCGAACTAGCAGCTCATTTGCATTTAAAGGCACCCACAAAAACTGTGTTTTTGCTCGCACCCAAACGGCTGCAAATTTAACAAGACATAGTAAATGATAAGTTGTTTAATTCATGATGAAACTTTACGCACACATTCTTCGGACACCAAAGATTTATTTGACATCTTGCAAAAAATATGTCCACTTAAACTCTCAATGTCATTGGTCCCTAACCTATTTTTTTTACTCCTAAACTGCGCCCTCTTGTGTTAACATGGAGTAATGCATCTCCTTTTAACTCTCTTTTCTTTGAAAACGGCACATAAAATTCCATCCGGTACTCATCATATAGCACAAAATGTGTGTTTGTGTCCCGCAGCAAGCCGCGTACCACCCAGAAGTGGGCGAGGATGTGAGGAATAAAGCTCTTCTCTATGGCATTGAATGCACCACCGGATACGTCGACTTGCTGGAACACGTCCTGCTCGTGAGTGGGAAAAAAAACAAACACTTTTTTTGCAGGATGTGTTTGTGCTCGAGTTGTGATTTATTAACCTCGTGAGTGTGTGCGCTTGGCTCCTCGCAGGTCCTTCAGAAACCCACGGCTGAACAGAAACAGCAGTTGGCCTCGCTGTCTAAGAAAGTGGCGAGTTCAGTCACAGAGCTCATCCAGACGGCTGAAGCCATGAAAGGTGAGCGCGCGCACACACACACACACACACACACACACACACATACATTTTTACAGTCTTACAGTAGGTTTAAAGACACCTGCAAGGGAAGGTATGTGTTTTGGGGTGGGGATTTTTGGTTCTGTTTTTAATGGAGAAACACAATTTGAATGTAAAATGTGGAGAATATGTATGTATTTTTATTTAAATAATTCAGTTAAAAGCCGAGTGCTTGTGATAACTTTGTTTTGTGTGTGTGTGTGTGTGTGTGTTTTTGAATTAACTAGGGTTTCATTTATTTTCAATACAGTAAAACAAAAAAATTGTGCAATATGGTTACAATTTTAAGTTGGTTTCTAGTTTAAGTAATAATAAAATAATAATAATAATAAGAAGAAGAAGAAGAATTATTAGTATTTTTATTATTATTTTTATAAATTGATGATAACAATAATAATAATTATTATTATTGTTGTTGTTGCTGTTATTATTATCATCATTATTTGTATTATTATACATTGATAATAAATATAAAAATAATAAAAAATGTATTATTAAAAAAAATAATAATAATAATGATAATAAATATTATTTTTATTATTATTATTATTATTATTATTTTCTATTATTATTATTATTATTATTGTTGTTGTTGTTGTTTTTGTTATTATCATTGTCATTACTATAATAATATTAATAATAATTATTATTATTATTAATATTATTATTATTATCATTATCATTATTATTATTGTTGTTGTTGTTTTTGTTATTATTATTATTATTGTCATTGTCATTATTATTATTATTGTCATAACTATTATTATTATCATTACTACTATTATTATTATTACTATTTTTATTATTATTATTATTGTCATTATTATTATTATTATTATTATTATTATCAGTATTATTATCATTATTATTTTGTTGTGGTTGTTGTTGTTATTATTGTAATTGTCATTATTATTGTTGGTGTTGTTACTATTATTATCGTTATTATTATTATTATTATCATTATTATTATTAATATTGTTGTTATTTTTTCATTATTATTACTACTATCATTATCATTACAATAATAATATTATTGTTGTTATTGTTGGTGTTGTTTTTGTTATTATTATCATTGTCATTACTATTACTATTATTATCATTATTATTATTATTATCATTATTATTGTTGTTATTTTTATTATTATTATTATTATCATTATTACTAGTGTTATTACAAGTTCTATTAATCAAAATATAATCGACGTAAAAATACATTTTATTACAGTTAATTATTTTTCCTTCTTTAAAAAATCATGAAATAATAAGAGGAATTTATCTTTTTTAATTTTGAAGTACTTTAAAGTATTAACTGGACAGTCTGCATTTGAAACTGTAAAAATATTAAACAAATTGATATTTTAAGTAAAGGAAATTCATCCTAATTTTATGAAGCAGCCAGTTTCAAAAGAAAAAAACTCCTCAGATGTAAGGATTCAAAAAAAAATAAAAGGCCAAACATTAAAACTTGTAATTCATTTCAAACTTTTGACTACAAATTTGCCCTGCTCTAAACACTTATTTAAAAATCAAATTATAATAGAAGATCGAATATATTTAATTACATTTCACGAATGACGAGTTTCTGAATTCTCCCGAGCACAGACGTCATGCAGGCCTGGGAATGTTATATGCGTTTAGGTGGTAATAATGGGCCAAACTGAGCTGGATTCATGCAGGTTGAGCTGATTTTTCTTCTTCTAAAACACTCCTCTGTTGTTCTTTCCTTTTTCTGCCACAGATGGAGGTGAGTATGAGATACACTGTGTTGTTTTTCTCCGGTTTCAGGCCACACACATTCAGACTTGAGTAACTGACCGACACACACACACACACACACACACACACACACACACACACACACACACACACAGTAATAAGTGCGGGGAAAGAGAAGAAGGGATAGAACCGAATTCCCTCAGGTTTAACATAATCCTCAAACACATTCTCACCATCTGTTTTCTCAAGCTGTTTGAACAAAACAGATATCTTTTAGTGGCTCTTGAATGTCGTTAAAAGGAGAACGTATCGTAGAGCACACTTGCTCCATAAATGGTTATTAACGTAAGGATGCGCGCATTCATTTAGGCAATTAATGAATGATTGGGAATGCATCAGGAGCAGTGTTCGCGTTGGCATCATGTTATTTTATCATACAGTACATAATACAAACTGATGGCATACCAAAATTTACCACGGTAACTTTTTTCTAATTAGTTTTTTTCAGAATCTAATATAATTATTATTATTATTATTCATTCCTTTTCCTTGGGCTTAATCTCTATTTCAAAGGTCGCCACAGTGGAATGAACCGAAGTTTGATTAGGCCGAAATTTGTTGTAAAAATGGGGGGAATTAATTAATATTTAAATTAACTTTTAGATTTAATCAATTGTTGTTGTGGGTTTTTTAGGTTAAATAAATCTGAATTTGTTTCCTTTGATAAAATGTGATTTTGAATTTGTTTGATTTTGGGGGGAAATACATGCCAAACAGTTCTCAAACTATTTTTGCAAGAGTCCTGGTGAATTGTGATTTTTATTATTATTTTGAGGTTTAAAATCCTATTACATGATTTTATTTTATTTCTCATGTTGTGTGTTCACCTTTGCATAAGTTTATTTAATTTAATTTAACCTTATTTTATTTTGTTTTTGTTTTTATTTTATTTTTTTTGTATTTTATTTTAATTTTATTTGATTATTTTATTTTATTTTGGTTTTATTTTATTTTATTTAGTTTTTTTGTTTGTTTGTTTTCATTTTTATTTTTGTTTTTTAATATTTTTTATTTTGTTTATTTTATTTTGTTTTGTTTTATTTTGGTTTTATTTCATTTTATTTTGTTTTATTTTACTTGTGTTTTATTTTGTTTTATTTTATTTTGGTTTTATTTCATTTTATTTTGTTTTATTTCACTTGTGTTTTATTTTATTTAGTTTTATTTTATTTTGGTTTTATTACATTTTATTTTGTTTTATTTTACTTGTGTTTTATTTTATTCTGTTTTATTTTGGTTTTATTTTTATTTTTTTGTCTTATTTTATTTTTGTTTTATTTCATTTTTGTTTTATTTCATTGAATTTTTTATTTTATTTTTGTTTTTATTATTGATTTATTTATTATCCATTCATTCATTCATTTATTTAACTATTATTTTATTTTATTTGTACTGGAGGTTACTATTTCCATTTCATAATTCTTTAAAATTTATTTTATTTTCTCCATGTCATGTGTTTATTTGTGTATTACACATTTTTTGTAGATCATTCAAATTAAAATTTGACTTTACATTTTTTTTTCAACACAGAAGGTTATAGGTTTGAATGTCTATAGCCAAAATTTTGTTTGTTTGTTTGTTTGTTTGTTTCACATCTTTCCTTTAGTATATTGTGCAAATGGTCGGTTAACAATGACATTGATGTATATTTATTTTATAAACAGTAGGTTGTTGGTTTGAATCCCCACTGCATGACCTTTTTATTGAACTATTAATCAAATGATTAAAATTTAATTATTTTTATTTATGCAAGTTATTGGTTTGAATCCCTGTCGCATGATTTTTTTTTTTTTAGTTATGTTATTTTCTGATGTCCTGTGTTCATTCTTTCCATATATGTATCCAAATGTACACATTTGGTAGTTCAATTGAGTCAAAATTACGCAGAAGGTTGTTGGTTTGAATCCCTCTTCCTCCTGTTTAATGTGTTCAGTCTCAAATGTTGTATAATATACGTAGGGTTGTTAACAATGAGAATAAGGTTGCTTTTCCACACAGGAGGTTATAGGTTTGAATCCCCATTACATGTTTTCTTTTTTTATTAAATTATTAGACTGATCAAAGTATTCAAATTAGATCAATTTTATTTTCTCATGTCACATATTTAGTCGTTCCTTTTGTGTTTATTACTTAAAAATTTGTCATTTTTCTTCCTATTTCGAAGGTTATTGGGTTGAAACCCTGTTGCATGACTCTTTTTTATTTCTGATGTATGTATTCAGTGTTTCTGCATATGTTTCATGCATATGGAAAGTAAATTGGAAATAAGGCCCCTGTTGTGGTCTCAGGTTCGGAGTGGGTGGACCCTGAAGACCCTACGGTGATTGCGGAGACAGAGCTTCTGGGTGCTGCTGCGTCCATCGAGGCCGCCGCCAAGAAACTGGAGCAGCTGAAGCCCAGAGCCAAACCAAAGGTATCCATCCATACATCCATCCATCTTCTCAATCCAAACACACACACACACACACACACTTCTGTGATCAGCCTGCCAACGCAACTTTGTCAAATCACTTCCACTAAAGACTATGGGAACATTTCATTCCTGGTTAGCGTTTGGGGGGGTGGGGGGGGGGGGGTGTGATGCTGTTTTTGTAATGTAAGAACTCCAGTTTTGTGTTTTCATTGTGTTTGGGAAGTGTGTGCACGTCTGTGGAGTGTGTTTTTCCCTCGTCTTTTATTCATTTTTAGCCGTTTTGAAGTCTTGTGGGCACTGAACTCATGTTTTTTGATGGTTTTCAGTTTTTGTTGGGGGGGATTTTTGTGATCTCCATTATTCAGTGTTTTAAAGGGCACCTGGGTTACCCCTTTTTTCAGATTTAATATAAGTGTTTTGCGTCTCCAGAATGTGTCTGTAAAGTTTCAGCTCAAAACACCCATCAGATGTTTCATTATACCTTTTACTAGATCCTGTTTTATACATCTTTCCACCAGGGGGTGGTTTTGTCATACTGCGCCTTTAAGGCGAGTCCTCCCCGCCTACCTTTTCTACGTGTCTATCTGTGTGTCTTAATCTCCTCCCTCGGCTGCGTCAGACAACAGACACACTTAAAGGAAGAAGATCTCACGTAGCGTTTGTGAGAAATACTACAGCAAGAACTATACCAATGAGTATTTGTTGTGCAGTTGCATTGATAAGTCACACAGAATATCGTTACAAAGTTCACGCACACACACACACACCGCAGCAGACACACACACTATCTATCTATCTGTCCGTCCGTCCGTCCGTCCGTCCGTCCGTCCGTCCGTCTGTCTGTCCGTCTATCTATCTATCTATCTATCTATCTATCTATCTATCTATCTATCTATCTATCTATCTATCTATCTATCTATCTATCTATATATCTATCCGTCTATCTATCTATCTATCTATCTATCTATCTATCTATCTATCTATCTATCTGTCTATCTATCCGTCTATCTATCCGTCTATCTATCTATCTATCTATCTATCTATCTATCTATCTATCTATCTATCTATCTATCTATCTGTCTGTCTATCTATCTATCTATCTATCTATCTATCTATCTATCTATCTATCTATCTATCTATCTATCTATCTATCTATCTATCTATCTATCTATCTATCTATCTATCTATCTATCTATCTATCTGTCTATCTATCCGTCTATCTATCTATCTATCTATCTATCTATCTATCTATCTATCTATCTATCTATCTATCTATCTATCTATCTATCTATCTATCTATCTATCTATCTATCTGTCTGTCTGTCTATCTATCTATCCGTCTATCTATCTATCTATCTATCTATCTATCTATCTATCTATCTATCTATCTATCTATCTATCTATCTATCTATCTATCTATCTGTCTGTCTGTCTGTCTGTCTGTCTGTCTGTCTGTCTAACTATCTATCTATCTATCTATCTATCTATCTATCTATCTATCTATCTATCTATCTATCTATCTATCTATCTATCTATCTATCTATCTATCTTTATATCTATCGATATATCTATCCGTCTATCTATCTATCTATCTATCTATCTATCTATCTATCTATCTATCTATCCATCCATCCATCCATCCATCCATCCATCCATCCATCCATCCATCCATCCATCCATCCATCCATCCATCCATCCATCCATCCATCCATCCATCCATCCATCTATCTATCCATCTATCTATCTATCTATCTGTCTATCTATCCGTCTATCTATCCGTCTATCTATCCGTCTATCTATCCATCTATCTATCTATCTATCTATCTATCTATCTATCTATCTATCTGTCTGTCTGTCTGTCTGTCTGTCTGTCTGTCTGTCTGTCTGTCTATCTATCCGTCTATCTATCCATCTGTCTATCTATCTATCTATCTATCTATCTATCTATCTATCTATCTATCTATCTATCTATCTATCTATCTATCTATCTATCTGTCTATCTGTCTGTCTGTCTGTCTGTCTGTCTATCTATCTATCTATCTATCTATCTATCTATCTATCTGTCTGTCTGTCTGTCTATCTATCCGTCTATCTATCCATCTGTCTATCTATCTATCTATCTATCTATATATCTATCTATCTATCTGTCTGTCTGTCTGTCTGTCTGTCTGTCTGTCTGTCTGTCTGTCTATCTATCTGTCTATCTATCTGTCTATCTATCCATCTATCTATCCATCCATCCATCCATCCATCCATCTATCTATCTATCTATCTATCTATCTATCTATCTATCTATCTATCTATCTATCTATCTATCTATCTATCTATCTATCTATCTATCTATCTATCTATCTATCTATCTATCTATCTATCTATCTATCTATCTATCTATCTAGCTGTCTGTCTGTCTGTCTGTCTGTCTGTCTGTCTGTCTGTCTGTCTATCTATCTATCTAACACACACAAACTGGCAGACAGAGCGCCTTTAGCTTCCCACTCTTTTTGTACGCATATGTGACAGGATACAGGCTAATCTCCGCTGCTGTATGAATATCTGTTATGTTGATGTACAAAATAATCCTGATTTAATGTCAACAAACTGGGATTGAAGCGTCTTCCTTTATAATTGTTTTGACACACGGCTGTGCTGATGAAGTAAAGCTGAAGTAACTCGCTGTACTTCATTACACACTTGCTCTGTTTTAAAACATTTTAAACATGTGAAACTCACTCTTGATCACATTTGATGATGATTGATGATCCTAGCGAACTGAACAGACCTTTTATTCCCGGTTGCTTTGCGCACGTCTGGTCTTGTTGACATGATTATACACGTGACTACCGGGACATGTTAACGCAACAGCTGTCAATCAATTCGGTGGGCGGGGGGACCGCACTCCTACGTCAAGTTGCGGTCGGTCTGAAAACCGCTCTAATTGATTCACCGTTTTTATGTTGTTAAATTGAAAAAAAAAAGGACTGGGTGTGTTTATATCACCCCAATATGGTCTATACACATATATATCTACACATATGTCTGTCCAAACAGCTTGAAAAGTAGGTGCCCTTTAAAGGTTTGTTTTAGAATCCGCTGAACTTTTAGTCGGTCAATCTGAAACTCGTATTCAAGAAGGTCAGCACTCTTCTTTCTTTTCTTTTTTTTTTTTTTTTTTTTTTAGAAATGATTTTCCTTGAAGCGCTTTTATTGTTCCATCCATCTGTGTTACAGCTCGGCTGTCAGTGATGCTTTTCACCTAAAAAAGAAAAAAACATTTCTCCACATTTTGCCTCTCTGAGCTCAAACTGCCTCCTCGCCCTCTCCAAGCGTGTCAATAACTCTATAGTCAAATCACATTTACTGCCAGACTCAACACTTCCTGACAAACAACAATCTTTCGTTTGTCCAGCTGTTTATTTGCTCTGTCTGTCTGTTTTCGTCTGTCTATGTCTGCCTGTCTGTCTATATACAGTATGTGTCTGTCTTTCAATCGGTCTGTCTATCTGTATCTGTTTATCTGTCTGTCTAACTATATGTCTATCTTTCGGTTTGTCTGATTCTATTATCCTATATCTTTCTATCTCTCTGTCTGTCTGTTTATATATCTGTCTGTCTATCTATTTCCATCCATAATCTATCTATCTATCTATCTCCGTCTGTCCTTCCATCCGTCGGTCCATCTATCTATCACCATCCATCCATCCATCCATCCATCCATCCATCCATCCATCCATCCATCCATCCATCCATCCATCCATCCATCCATCCATCCATCTATCTATCTATCTATCTATCTATCTATCTATCTATCTATCTATCTATCTATCTATCTATCTCTCTCCGTCTGTCCGTCCATCCGTCCGTCCATCTATTTATCACCATCCATCCATCCATCCATCCATCCATCCATCCATCCATCCATCCATCCATCCATCCATCCATCCATCTATCTATCTATCTATCTCTCTGTCCATCCGTCCGTCCATCTATCTATCACCATCCATCCATCCATCCATCCATCCATCCATCCATCCATCCATCCATCCATCCATCCATCCATCCATCCATCCATCCATCCATCCATCCATCCATCCATCCATCCATCCATCCATCCATCCATCCATCCATCCATCCATCTATCTATCTATCTATCTATCTATCTATCTATCTATCTATCTATCTATCTATCTATCTATCTGTGTGTCTGTCTGTCTGTCTGTCTGTCTGTCTCTCACCCTCTGACCTTTTCTCTCTGTCCCGCTGTGTTGTTCTGTGTGTCAGTCAGGTTCATATATTCTGGAATGAACAGTAAACAGGACTCAGTAATGTCGTCAACTTTAGTCCTCTCAGACATCCAATGTTGATCTTTCATCCCATTATCCCCTGCAAACTCCGATAAAGGACGTTTCACAGCTTGTCTTACATTTCAATCTCTAAATCTCCCCCCAAGACACCTTCTCATCAGGTTTAGTGCACACACATCCTGACTCACGTGTTTTTAAAAAGCGTTACAGTGAGGTTGAAGCTCAGGATACAGGGTCATCAGTGTTCCTTATCAATCCCCCCTGCAGTGTTTTTACCGTTACCCCTAACCTTTCTTCATTCCTCACTTCCTTCTTTAGCCTCTCCTCCTCTACCCATCATGTTTTTTCCCTCGTTATCCCAGCATGCCCTGCTCTCCTCTCCCCTCCCCCGTGTTCTGGAGGTGAGGTAGACCTGGAAGCCTTTCTGCAGGCCTCTGTTTGATATGTTTGATATATTAGGTTGTTATTCTGTCCAACTATATATCAAACATATTCCTACAGTGTCCTGCTCTGTCTCCAGACTCGTGTGTGTTTTGTTCATGAACGTGTGTGTGTGTGTGTGTGTGTGTGTGGCCTCAGACAGATCAGTTTTGTGAAGGTGGCATGCAAGGCTTTGTCTTAGGCCCACTGTGCTTGTGCTGTTGTGTCCGACGCTGTTAATTCTGAACAGTGTGAGCGTGAGAAATGTCACCTCTGTGCCACAAGGTGTCGCCCTTACATCTCTTTATGGAAATTACAACTCTGCTTCTCCTTTTTCATCACTATAGGTGTGTTTGGAAAGGCATCCAGCACATACTGTTAATGCAGTATGTGCGCATAATGTTTCCAGTGCGCACAGAATGAACACATTTTCATAAAAGGAGTCAAATCTGTACTTTTACTTTTCAAAATACAGCTGTTCAAAGCCTTAATTTTTGCATAATCGCAATCGTTTGACTTGTTTGCAGCTATACAGTAGAGTAAGAACGGTCTTTAAACCACAGCGGTTCGAACTGTAGTTCTGCCGAGTGACTAAAAAGTGATCAGCATGATGGTAAAAAACTGTACATTTCTAGTCAAACCATTCTTCTGCAATCTTATACCAAAAACGGAAATAAGGGCAGTATTAATAGCTATAAATGTGGGAGAGTGTTGATATTATGTGATTGTATTGTATTGCTATATGAAACTTGCCTATAGCACTTATTCATTGTTGCTCTTATAGTTGTGTAAGTTGCTTCCTTGTCCTCATTTGTAAGTCGCTTTGGATAAAAGCGTCTGCTAAATGACTAAATGTAAATGCTATATGGAACAATTAAGTGTTGATGTTAAATCAAAACTAATTAACAAATACTTGAAAATGAAATGATTTATTGACAATAATTCTCTATGGTTACAACTAAATTAATTACAAAATACTGTATAAAATGATAAAATATGAAATGATAAAACAAATGGTATAAATTGTACCCAGCTTAAATGTAAAACTAAAGTTACCATAGGTAGAAGGAGAGACACAGGGGGAGGGAGAGAGAGACAAAGAGAGCAGGCCCAAAAGCCTGATTGCAGTAGAGTCAGAGAGGATAGACTCCAGAGGAGGAGAGGAGCAGAGCAGGAGTGAAGCAGGCCAGGAAAAGAGCCAGAGCTCGAGTTTACCAACTATTTTGTATATTTCTTGACCATGTGACTAAAGCCATTCAAGACAGTCAAACTGACCAATCAACATGTGACCACACCATAAAACCCCCAAAGTCCACACAACAGGCCCTGATCTTATCAGTATCTGGCTTTGTAGTCAGTATGGACCTTCTTGAGTCAAAAAGCATGTTTTGTCATATAAACAAATGCATATGATAATTTAGCCTCTTACAGTAGTATAACTAAAATAATGTGTAATATATATATTCTATAATAATATGTGTAATATATATTGTATATATATATAAGCATAACTAATATAATATGTGATGATATAAGGGGTTTGAAATGGTAAATTACCAAACTACATGTGCTGTTTATGCAGTGTGTGTTATGTCCTGAATGCACATTTTCAGTATGCATGAAATCCCTACTGCATTTATTCAATATGTGCAGTATTGAACTAAAGCACAGTGTGTTAAAGGTGCAGAAGGTGATCTGCCAAAATCTTTTCGCATATCTTTTGAAACACAGTTCTTCCCCTGCCGTCCAAAGCCACGTCACTTGAAATTGCGCGAACGCCCACAATAAAGATGACAGAGACCCACTAGATCAGGGGTGTCCAAACTCGGTCCTGATGTCCTGGATAGTTTGATTATTTCCTCCAACACATCTGCCTAGAAGTCTAGTATACCTAGAAAGAGCTTGATTCGCTGGTTCAGGTTTGTTTAATTGGGGTAGGAACTAAAATATGCAGGACGCCCGTCCTCCAGGACCAAGTTTAGATACCACTGCACTAGATCATGTCATTCGCTAGTTAGAAAACTTGGTAACACTTTATAATAACCACACACTCTGAACCATTTATTAAGCATTAGCAAATAGTGAATTCATCATCTGTTAGGCATTAACTCCACATTAACAGATGTTAGTAAGCAGTTTAGAACTGCAGCTACAAGTGCTGTATTATTGACTTAAAACCACATTTATAATGCGCTTAATTATTGTACTTTCATATCTTGTTAATGATTTATTTTTCATTACTAAATTAAGTATCGCATTATGTAGAACCCAGTTATTTAAGCATAGTTGGTGGGGTTTTTTTAAGATCTTTCAGAATGAGTTAGTAAATGATTAATAAACTGTACAGATTAACATTTATGTGGTTTGTAAATAATGCAATACTTAATTTAGTATTGAAAAATAAATGATTAACAAATTATGAAAGTACAGTTATTAAGCACATTATAAATGTGGTTGTAAATCAATAATACAGCATTTGTAGCTGCAGTTATAAACTGCTTACTAATGCCTGTTAATGTAGAGTTAATGCTTAACAGATAATGAATTCACTATATGCTAATGCTTAATAAATGGTTCATTCAGAACATTACCTGTCTAACAGAAATACTTCAGCCATGGTGTCGTCCTTCCTCCAGCGTGCAAAAGTAACTCCAATATTGATTCAGGATTTTAGAAAGTTTTGATTCAGCATTTGTTTTTACTACTCGTGCTCTCTCTCGTGTGCACATGTCATGAACGTGGCACAAATGGCGGATCTGCGTGAACGCTGCGCAGATGTACAAATCTACATTTGCTGTCAGACAGTTTGAGCTACTTATCATAATTATGAGAGATGTCGGTCCGACAATATTTAATTGGATGAACATTTTTTAGTTTTATGCCTTATCTAGAATATAAAAATACATATAAACACATTTAATCATTACTACTGGAATATGAAGAGACTTTCAACCAGCGCAACAAAACATGTTTCTGAAGACAATCCCCTACTGCACCTTCTATTTTTTTTATGACTATTAGTAGACTAGCAGATTATTCTATACTAACCCTAACTACAAATACATCTTGTTAGAATGCAGATCTGTCATATGAAATGTATTTTTAAGGGATCAGTTAGGCTTCGTATGTCTGTTCTATGTGTGTGGAGGGTCATTTCTGCCAATTGAATTAAAATAAAAAATAACTGCAACTTTTTTTTCCAGAATGTTAATCATTAAAGATGTAAACTTTTAATTCAGCCTTTTTTTATGCAAATCTGAATTTATAGTTGGTAAATCTGAGTTGAAATCTCATAGTCCTGACTTTATTGATTGCAATTCTGCCCTTTTCCTTAGAATTATGACTTTATGTATTATAATGTTATTATAATAATATAATAATTATACAAATTATTATTATTTTCTATTGCAACGTTAAATGTTGCAATGCCATTTTTTATTAGGATTTTATTGCTGATTGAGTTTATCTTGGAAAAAAAAGTTGTATTGTACTAAAATTGTATGTGAGATGCAAACTTGGATGAAAATGTGAATATTATTTATTATTATTGCTGATTATATATCTGGACTTTATTTCTGGTAATTCTGAGTTTAGTTTGTGTTTGCTGTTCATGTCCCGCATTTCTGACATTTTTCCAAAACTGTGATTGAATTTTAAATTAATTGTGATTTAATGAGTTCATAGATGATCTTGCAATTCTGACTTGTGAAATATAAACATTGTGAATTTATCAGTTCAAAACCGTGATACAAACTTGCAAAAGTTTGATAAACATGCAACTGACCGATTTAATTTATTAATATAGATGACATATTAAAAATCATCTGATTTCTTTTTTTAATATGGACAGTTAGCATAGCTAACGCATCACTTATTTAACTTCAGTGTTATCTTTCGCTAATGGGCATCCAGCATTGAGTCCAGATTTGAAGTGATGAAGTGACGACTGTTTTCTTATTTATTCCAGCAAGCCGATGAGTCTCTGGATTTTGAAGAGCAGATCCTGGAAGCGGCAAAATCCATCGCAGCCGCAACCAGTGCTCTGGTCAAATCTGCATCGGCCGCACAGAGAGAACTCGTAGCCCAGGGCAAGGTATTCACTAATGAAAACCACAACCCATCAAACTCCTTTGTTAGTATAGAGCTGAAATAGAAATATTAGATGCAAGAAAAAAAAAATATATATATATACAGTTAAAGTCAGAATTATTACCCCCCTTTTAATTTTTTTCTTATTTTTTAAATATTTCCCAAATGATTTTTAACAGAGCAAGGAAATTTTTACAGTATGTCTGATAATATTTTTTCTTCTGGAAAAAGTCTTATTTTACTTCGACTAGAATGAAAGCAGTTTTTAATTTTTTAATAAACATTTTTGGGACAAAATTATTAGCCCCTTTAAGCTATTTTTCTTTTCGATAGTCTACCGAACAAACCATTGTTATACAATGACTTGCCTAATTACCCTAACCTGCCTAGTCAACCTAATTAACCTAGTTAAGCTTTTAAATGTCACTTTAAGCTGTATAGAAGTGTCTTGAAAAAATATCTAGTAAAATATTATTTACTGTCATCATGACAAAGATAAAATAAATCAGTTATTAGAGATAAGTTATTAAAACTAATATGCTTAGAAATGTGCTGAAACAATCTTCACTCCATTAAACAGAAATTGGGGAAAAAAATAAACAGGGGCGCTAATAATTCAGGGGGGGCTAATAATTCTGACTTCAACTGTATATAAAATGAACAAGAAAATTTTTAATAATACAAACTGAGTTGCAATACCTAAAACTAAAGCTAATTGAAAAATTACATGTTTGCTAAATTATAATTATTTTTAATATACTATAATTATTTTTAATAAATGTTTAAATTATAACATTTGCTAAAAAAATTAAAATAGAGCTGAAAGAATTAAAAACAGACCGAACACTGAAGAAAATGAACACATTCTTGCTGCTTAGTTTTTGATTGTTCATTTTAGCGTTTCGTCTTTGACAATGTGAAAGATATACCTGTAGAAAACGATAAAAATGTTCTGAAGCTTCTGAAATTACTACTGTAAATACATATAAAAGTAACACCAAATTACCCACTGCTCTTCAGTGGTTTAAACATGACTAAAATAACACTTTGTGATATGTGACGCAGGTGGGCTCCATCCCTGCCAATGCAGTAGATGACGGCCAGTGGTCTCAAGGTCTCATATCAGCTGTAAGTTGAGCTTTTTCTCACATTTCTTAGTCACTTTGACCTGTATTATAAGCAGGATGACGGTGATGAATTGTGTGTTTCAGGCACGGATGGTTGCGGCCGCCACTAGTAACCTGTGTGAGGCGGCGAACGCTTCGGTTCAGGGTCACGCCAGTGAGGAGAAGCTCATCTCTTCTGCTAAACAGGTGGCGGCGTCCACTGCACAGCTGCTGGTGGCCTGCAAAGTCAAAGCAGACCAGGACTCTGAGGCCATGAGGAGATTACAGGTCAACTTTTCCCATGTCCCATGATGCTTTACCTGAATTACGAAAGTACAGTCGCTTCCATTAACGCACTTTATCAGGACACTTTTTCAAAATATCACTTTTTTTGTAATGAAATTGTAATCTAATCATGACAAAGTGTATACAGTTTAAAAAATGCAAAATGTTTATATTTATTAATTTGTTTATTTAATCATAATTATCACCTTTCTGTGGATTTACTCAAAAACTAAACCCAACTTTAACCCTACTATTAATAAGCCACTAATTAGTAGTTTATTGAGGTAAGAGTCTTAGTGAAAAAAAAAACTTGAGATTGGTCAACAGGTGGCGCTATACACCTTAAAAATGTCAAAAATGCTGTATTTCTATTGGAAATGAACACATGTAATGCCTTTGTTTGTTTGTTTTTCTAATCATTGTCTTTGTGTTCACACAGGCTGCTGGTAACGCGGTCAAGCGAGCGTCTGACAACCTGGTGAAGGCAGCGCAGAAAGCAGCTTTCGATAAAGCCGAAGACGACAGCGTTGTGGTGAAAACGAAATTCGTCGGAGGAATCGCTCAGGTAAAAACATCTTCAGGAATCCTGAACATTTCTTTTCATCCAATGCAGCTCATTTAAACGTTCTATAAGGTGCTTTGAAATGTGTATTTTTTTAACCGTGGTTTGACGTAATCGCAACTGAAATACGAATAGAGGGTGGGGCTTAAATAGCTCCTCCCCCTCTTTTTAAAAACAGCCAATGGCGTTCGTTTTTATCCCAGAATTGTTGTGCTGAAGAGCATCAAATTAGAGGTCTGCATTTCACCCGACCACATTTCTGCGGCGCGGGAATAAATTTCCGAATAAGGAGTGGGAGTGGTTGGTAACGGGTTTAATTTTGGACGGGAGAGGGCGGTTCAACAATATCGCTCCCGGCTCTCCACTCCCGAGCAAAAGAGCACGCGCATTTATATGTGTGAAAGAGACAGCATGGTGCTGCATTTAGCAGTCTATGTGTGCGTGCGAATGAGAGAGAGAGAGCTTTGTGCGCTCTCTCTCTCTCTCTCTCTCTCTCTCTCTCTCTCTCTCTCTCTCTCTCTCTCTGTGTGTGTGAATGAAAGATAGCGAGATGCTGTGTGTGTGTCACTTGCTTGAGTGTGTGTGTTTGTACAGACAGCGTGTTATAGGCTGTCTGTATAGCTGGGTGGTTTTCAGTTTTGTTCTCCCCCCCGTCCGTTAGCGGGAACGGGCGTGGCGGGTAGAAAACGGGGTGAGTCGGGCAGCGGGACAACAAATGATGAATATAAGGGGGAGCGGTCGGGTTCGGGCTAAAACCTGGCAGGTGCGGGCAGGAGCGGGATTGAAAATGTAGTCTCGCGCAGATCTCTACATAAAATGAAAGGCAAAGCGTCTTAAAGAAGGCGGGGCATGTCAGACACTAGAGAGCATTTGATTGGTCAGAAGATTTGATGAGAAACTGAAGTATGAGGTGGCGTCAAAAAAAAAAAAAAACGTTGATCCAGCAACAAACTGCATGTCAGGGTTTACTGACTACTGCAAGCTTTAGATGTTTATATCAATTTCATTTATTAATTTTCCTTCGGCTTAGTTTCTATTTCAGAGGTCGCCACAGCAATAAGCAAACCACCAAGTATTCCAGTATATGTTTTATGCAGCAGATCCCTTTCCAGCTGCACACCAGGACTGGGAAACACCCACTCATTCACACGAACAATGGACAATTTAGTTTATTATCTCGCATACACGAGAAGAACATGCAAACTCCACACAGAAATGGTAACTGATCCAGCCGGGACTCGAACCAGCAACCTTCTTGCTGTGAGGTGACCACTGAGCCACCGTGCCACCCCTATCAATTTCATATCTTCTTTTAGATATCCTTAAAACTACGCCAGCAGTCTTAGACCTGCCCCAAATGCTCTCATTGGTTGAAAAGTGTAAGAATGACTTTCCCAAGCCAATAGTAATTAACCACCCAACCTCTTGTGACCTTTTGTCATGAGGGTCAGTGACCACCGGAGGGCGCTGTAGTTCACAGACTCTGAAAATTTACTACAGCGCCCAAAAGACTACAAGTTCATACGTACCACACGCATTACACCCGGTCCACGTACACTGATTGGCTCACAGCTGTTCCTGTTTCCTGTTAATTTCCTGGACTATTTATACAACCATTTCACCTCTGTTTGTCACTGCATCGTTTGTCTTTCTGGTCTTCCATGTCTCGCTTGTTCTCGCTTTGTTGTTTCTGAGCCTTGTCTCTGTTTTAGTTTCTGGTTTTGTGGTTTATTTGTACTTTGAACACCTTGTTTTATGTTTATGCACTGTAAATAAATCCGCACTTGGATCCGCACCTTTTTGTTTATGTTCTGTTTTGATCACGCAAACGTGACACCTTTGGCATCCTTATATATGTATTTAGAGCCAGTGAACAACAGAGTTTCAAAATATTAAAGTAAAAACAATAAAATAATTGTCATAAATTAATTAAAGCATTAATGCAATAATAACTCATTAAATTGGCCAGCGTTTTGAAAAAAATGTATTACTGAACCTTTAAAGAGATCTGACATGTCGACGCAGCATCTACAAAGGCTTTTGAAAGCACTGGTTTTGTAGCATGCGTCCACAGCTGGCATCTTAAGCTGGACCGCTGTATCCGCAGACGTTTCATCCCAGTCCAGATGCACATTAATTAGAGAGCGCGCGTCTGCCCATTCAAAGCTTCCTTCCTCCCAGAATGCCTTCATGTCTTGTCCTCATCTTCAGAGGGCGCTGGAATATTCTGAGCATTTGAGAAATCCTGTCGCGTGAGCGTTTGCATGAAACCGCTGAAAGCACAACAGAAAGTTGTTTAGGCCTGAGTCAGCCGCTCTGCAGAAGGTCAGGCCTTGATCTGTCCATCCCATTCCCAAATCCACAAAAATGCTACTCTCTTCGGAAAATAACTAGATGTCTGTTGCAGATCCAGTCCCTGCACGGTTGTGCTAAAATTACACGTTTCACTGAAGAATACAAAGAGTTTTTTTTTTTCTTTGACTGAGGCTGTACCAGAAGGAGGGAAATAGTTGGAAAAAAAGAAATTGGAAGGGAAAATGTCATTTCAGCTAAAATATGCTTAAACATATATGCTTTTAACAGTGTGTAAAACATTGAGCTTCATCATGAAAGGAGAAAAGGAATCATTTCTGTGCACATTTCCTTGTAAACAATGAGCAACTGAATTGTTCCCCTTATGCCTGAAATCGAAATGAAGCGCAATAAATGTGGGTAAATCATTCCTGCATAAATTGCATTCATATGTGTTTGTTGGTGTCATGCAAAACTAAACAAACTTAAATTTCTATTAGCCACAGTGGTGGTTTGCAATCATGTCACATTAATTTATACATGCAATGAAAGCAGAATTTATATATATATATTAGGGTTGGGCATCTAAGCTATAATGCCGATCCGATACGCATCTCAATACAAAGAATACGATCCGATATATTAGCGATACATTTGTGACATATTGCGATGCAACACGATACGATTCACACCCATATCACGATATGATGCGATATTTCAGCACTAACTAATTAGATCAAGTTTATGAGATGATGTGAAAGAGGATGCTGTGCCATTGAATGAGTTTGATTATTTATAAACCAAGCAAAACCAAGACTTTTTTTTTACAAACTGGCTCTTCTCTCAGAGCCAGAGTGTCAGTTTACAGTAGAGGGCCATTTTAGATAATATAGCACATATTATTTAAGTATTTTCAAGATAAACAGAATGTATAAGTGCAATATATATTAAAAAAATATGTATATATTTGCACTCTTTCAACATAAATAAATTTAGCATTGCACAACAAGAATTGTGATTTAACTTTTCAACTATGAAAACAAGTTTTACAAAGATATTTTGCCACTGATTATTCAAAACTTAAGGTTGTGAACTAGCAGTGTTATGCTGCGTTGAAACATCACTATCACTGTAAACAACAGGCTAATAAAAATAAAACAAACCAGCAATCTTCTTGCTGTGAGGTGGTCAAACTACCCACTGTGCCACCGTGACACCCATAATTTTTATCATTATTATTATTAATATTATTATTATTATTATTAAATAAAAATTAACAGGAGGAGGTGTTTAAAACCTTCGTTCTCCGTGACACTAGGCTGAATATCTTTGCAGATGAACAATGCAGTAACATTCGTTATTGGCGTAGAGCGAGCAGAACTGTTGCGCATGGAAAAAAAAAACTTGCAATGCTTTTCTCACCACTTTTGGAGCTGGTAGCTACAGTTGAAGCAGTGCGAAAGCCGGGGATGCAGAAACACTGGAAGATGCTTTCACAACAACACCGTGGCGCCGCTTCAAGTGAGATATCAGATTAGTCATACTGCCCGCGTATTTTACAGATGCGCGGCACATTTTGCAAATTGCATCTGTCCTGTCATGTCGTCCATTCTTAAATCCATAATGTTGCTTGCCATACTTTAGATTTAAAACTCAGTGGGGAATAAAATGTTTGTTTTGCTTCTCGCGCTTTCTGAGGGCGCACCACTAGCTTCATCCGCACACCTGATACACTGAGTTGTAGTGTGCACATCCGCAAATCCGTTGCTAAGGCTTACTTTATGTAGGTCGATTAAATTATGCGCCAAAAACAGGTTGACAACACTTGTTAATAAATAAAAAATACATTCTATATTAAAAATATAAGCTGTATCTCGGAAAAATCGATGCATCTCGCAAAAACCGATGCATCTCGATTTGCTTCCAAAATTTCATTCATCCTCTGCTGCTCAACCGATGCACTCGCATCGTGCACGCGCATGACCGCGTATCGATACATATCGGTTAATCTTCCCATCCCTAATATATATATATATATATATATATATATATATATATATATATATACATTGTTTGTTTTTATGTAAGATGTTGCAATTGTCACATTCTTACTGTATTTTATGGCTCTCTGGAATACTTGATTTTGATTGGTTATATATATATATATATATATATATATATATATATATATATATATATATATATATATATATATATATATATATATATATATATATATATATATATATATATATATATATATATATATATATATATATATATATATATATATATATATATATATATATATATATATATATATATATATATATATATATATATATATATATATATATATATATATATATATATATATATATATATATATATATATATATATATATATATATATATATATATATATATATATATATATATATATATATATATGTATACATATATACATATACATATATATATATATATATACATATATACATATATATATATATATATACATATATACATATATATATATATATATGTGTGTGTGTGTGTGTGTGTGTGTGTGT